TTTATATAATTTATAATCATAACTTACTAAACACATATTTTAATTCTTTGACAAAAGTCTTGAAAATCTATTTTCTCTACCTGTTAATATAGTGCTAATATTGACTGAAAAAGTGTCAAATATTTTTGCACACAATATTCATAATGAGCTAAAATCGTTGTAAAGTATTTTGGAAAATAGATCTCATTACTTTTATATTATAACTTAATAATTTTTTAAATTAAGAATTTGGAAGTAAATAAATACAGTATTGGTCATAATTGTATATTAAAATCAAATAATATTATGTATGTACTTTAAAAAATCCAAAAGAATCATTCATCACAGTTCAGATTGTTTTTTGATAATTAGGTATTATATTATTTTTTTTATATAGATAAATTAAAATCAAATTATTAAATATTTTACTATTTCATATTTTATTATTTCATATTTTATTAAAAACTGTTTATTGTTCAATTGATAATAAATTATTTAAGAGTTAAATTGTAACAAATTTTTATTTACTTTCAATTTTCGGTTTAAAATTAAGTAGGCTGGTAGTATAAAGTGTTAATGATACTTGAATGCGAAATCACAACTTTATATTAGTAATTACTAAATACATAATGACTTATTTAATTTTTTGGTATTATTGGGATGAATAATTCTTAAAAACTGTTTCTTAAAAGTTAAAAGTATTTGGAATGTATTTGAAATACTTTCTGCATCGATGTATTTTTATCGGTATTTAAATATATATTTTTACAACACTGTAAAGTATAACGAATTTTGTAACCTTTTTAGAATTTAATATTTAATTCTACCAAGATTCTATACTTTTATACTTTAGTATATTATATTAATCGACTATTTTTTGTTTTGTTCCAGAACTGTTAATTCATGTCCACATCAATCTCAAACTCAAAAATGCCATAATCCAAACAGTACATAATTTTATAATTTGTTTTTAATTATAATAATGTGTATTGACATTGCAAAATAAATCCGTCTCTTCCGTCAATGAAATCGATTATTATTTATTTGTGCCATTCTGAGTTCTAATTATCGTTTATAATATAAACATTATTTATTATTATTTATAATCTATACTAATATTATAAAGCTGAGAGGTTTGTTTTTTGAACGCTCTAATATCAGGATAATACTCTTCTTGACGACCATAGTCGGTTATACACACTATAGAATATAATAATATGATATAACTCGGTGGTGTCCGATATAATATTTATTCAAGCTCCGAGCCAACCGAGCCGGTAACGCAATATACGTTGATCAATATTATGTCAGTCAGCTATATACAACTCATATAGAACGAATTACTTTTTTTCAAAGAATATTAGTTATACACGGACATTTTAGTTAGATATAAGATATTATGTAGTTTTTTAAGCTGTTGTCGCGATTCATGGACACGTAAAATGAGCTCGGCCACATAGAGCTCATTGAAGACGACACGTAACTGTAGCAGTGCGACAGTACAACACCGAGTATAATATCCTATTGTATCACAACAAAAACCCTTCGTAAGCTACGTGTAAAATTGGCGTGTAAAGTGTGATATCATGAATAAATATCACATCTTTATAGTGCTTAAAGTTCATATTTTTTTTACTTAGCCATTTTTACACGTAGTTTACGAAGGTTTTTTGATGAGATATCACTAATTTTTATCACCAATGTAAATAATCAATAATGTATCTATAATTTTATCTATACAGTGTGTAATCGCTAATTGAGAACGATCAATATCTTTGAGTAGTGCGTTGTAATTTGAATTCTGCTTTCTAGTTGGTTGTTATGACATAAAAATACACTTTTTGATAGACTATGGATTTTTTTAAGTTAATTAGACTTGCGCATGCGCAATACAACTTTTCTAAATGACAACTATCTATTCTAAAAACTATTTTTAATGCATTTTGGTAGTTGAACCAACTTTCTAAGTCCAAAATTGACCAAGTTACAGCCAATCAAAATACGAGCAGTTTTCAGTCTTTTTCACTGTAATTCTGAAAATAATTGTTCTGGAATTTTTTAGGATTGACATTTTCATTACTATTAATGTATGTTGTTAATTTTGTTACATATTGGTAATGAAAATGTTAATAATTAAAAAATTCCAGAAGAATTATTTTCAGAATTACACTGAAAAAAACTGAAAATGAAGAGTATTTTGATTGGCTGAAACTTGGTTAATTTTTGACTTAGGAAGTTGGTTCAACTACCAAAATGCATTAAAAAATTAGGGAAACAAAAAAAATTAGTTGTTAAAATAGGTGATTGTCATTTAAGAAAAAAAGTTGTATTGCACATGCGCAAGTCTAATTATGTTAAAACAATTCATAGGCCATCAAAAAGTGTATTTTTATGTCATAACAACCAAGTAGAAAACAGAATTTAAAATTCAGGGCCCTACTCAAAGATATAGAGTGTTCTCAATTAGCGATTACATTACACACTGTTTATTATATATGTATATAGATATACTTCTTATAAATATACTATTACACTATATAATATAGTATATAGTATAAAGTACTACGTAAAGTACGGACAACAATATTCTTTGTGTAACAAATATTGGCAAGGCTACGACGACGACAACGGCTACCGTGATTCTGAATTTAATATAAATTTCCATTAAAATACTTTTTCATTTATAACTTAATTTCTAAATCTATATCAGTGATATTATTTACATCATATTATTTTGATTATTATTATTTGATGGTGGTGTGCGGGGCTACAACTGTCACTACAAAAAAATATCAAACTAGGTACCACGATCCGCCACTGATTAAGGCCAATTTTGATACACTAGATACGCACGCAGTAGGTACCTACATATTATTCAATACGGCTATACTATAAACTAAATTGTAATAATATATTTCATAAAATGAAAAATTACTTTTATGATAATATTATGCAGAAACTGTTGAAAAAATACTGTAAGGTGTAAGAGGATTCCAGTCAAATACTCAAATGTCGAACATAATAATATGATATTAGATAATCAAATAAATATTTTAAGAATATAGCTCTTGCTCCTTCTACACGGGCAAAGCATTTCCAAACAAAGAACTGTGAAATACATAACTATAGTCTATAGAGATAATAAATATTTATATTATTAGTTGTTGTATACTCGGAAGGCTATATGACATACGCGCCAAAGGTACAAAAAGACATATCATTTGCGGGAAAATTAATATTTCATATAAGCGGTTATTTAAAAATTGTCAATAAATAGTTGTTAAAATATAATATATTACATACAAATAAATAATATTTATTTGTATTGTAAATAATATAATTTTAATAAATCAGTTGATTTTTTCGATCTTTTAAAAAAAATTCAATAATAAATTGTTAATATAATATAATTATAGCCTATAGGTAGTTCTAAATTTAATATCTGTTATTTAATACCTATCTATTAACCGTGCCACCGTGGCACCCAGATATCTACGATTTTGTCGCATTTTTGTCAACAATTTTTTTCTTATCTCATTTTGGCACTTTAGCATCCACCGACTCGGATACTAATTCTAACAAGTAACAAGCCTACTCGGCGAGTATCGTCAAAATATTACTACTTCGTCGTATCGACAACGATTTACTTTGTATACTGTGTCTACATTGAGATTTCGTTATTATACATGTGTAGTATAGAATAATAAATTTATAGTTTTTTAAATGTAAAATGTTAATGTGTTTCACGGTATTAAGATGATAATTAAAAATCTCGAGGCCTTTAACAAGCGGGGTACCCTGGACATATGCAGAGATGGGCAAAATCAGTAAAAAATTGATTTTTGAAATCAAAATCCGAAATCATCAAAACTATTGATATTAAAATCAAAATCAAAATCATTGCCTAAAAGATTTAATTAGCTTATAATTTGTTAAACCACAAAATCACAAAATATGATTAGGTATACTATGAGAATTAGTAATTTTTGTATCACATATGTCCCATGTGTAATGAGTACGACGCATACACTAGTATAAAAATAATACGACGCGTGTGCCAATATACATATCTGTATATATAAAAAGACTTGTCCTGGGTGATTCATCATCGCCTAGCCGGAACTGCTGGGTCTAGAGACTTGAAATTTTGTACAGAGGTTCCTTAAGCAATGTAAGGGCGCACTAAGAAAGGATTTTTGAAAATTCGACCTACAAGGGGGTAAAAGTGGGGTTGAAAGAATATGATAGTGGCGCCATCTATCAAGCAATATTTAATTTAAACATACAATATTGGTATTAAAATGAGTGAATTAAAAATAAAAATAATTTATATTGATATGATAATAACAATTTGGACATCTCTATGGCAATTAATACATCAGCTCGATGTACTGGCTAATACAGTATTAACAATCCACCAAAAACTACTCTTTTAGCATTTTTCGACTTATGTAAAACAGATGATTTTGCAAAAACACTTCTTTATGTTGATGTTCCCTCTTACTATGTATGGAAAAATAATAGATTTGAGAGAAGAAAACGTGGAATTAACGTAAATGGTTGGCCGGGAATAAAACGAGATCAAGCTCTGGGTAGAGTATATACCATTCACCCAAATAATACCGAGTGTTACTATCTTCGCCTTTTACTTCATGAAGTCCGAGGTCCTACATCTTTTTTGAAATTGAAAACTGTTAACGGCACAATTCAACCTACTTATCAGACAGCGTGTAAGGCTCTAGGCTTACTGGAAGACGAAAGGCACTGGGATACAACTATGGAAGAAGCTGTGCTTTGTGGTTTTATTGGCCAGAGTACGAAAAGATCATGGAATAGCTTTGGCTGTAGCTTCTTCAGGCATCGCTGCTACATTGCTAGAAGGAGGTAAAACCGCTCATTCTGTATTTAAATTACCATTAAACCTAACGAGAGTAGAGACACCTATGTGCAATATTTCCAAACAGAGTAATATAGCACAAGTTCTAAAAGACTGTAAGTTAATAGTTTGGGATGAATGTACAATGGCCCACAAGGGTGGCTTTGAGGCCCTCAATAGAACATTAAAAGATATAAGGGGATATAATAATTTGATGGGTGGAGTCACTGTGCTGCTAGCAGGAGATTTTCGGCAAACATTACCCGTTATACCTAGGGGTACAAGGGCTGATGAAGTAAAGTCATGTCTAAAAGCTTCGTATTTGTGGCCACATATCCAGAAAGTTGCACTTCATAAAAATATGAGGGTTCATGTGAAAGGTGACACATCTGCTGGGATTTTCGCTGAGATGTTACTTAAAATAGGAGACGGAAATTTCCCTTCATTGGAAGGTGAGATCACTATTCCCTCAAATTTGTGTACAGTTGTTAGCTCTTTATCAGAACTAACTTCCAGAATTTACCCAGATATAATAAATATCAAGATGAAACCCATCGAATGGTTGTGCGAGCGAGCCATCTTAACTCCAAAGAACGACAAGGCAGCCGAAATCAATGAAATTCTACTAAAGGCATTTAATGAAAAATCTTTTGATTCGGTGATCCAATCGGATGATGCTGTCCATTACCCTTTAGAATTTCTTAATACTCTGAATCCTTCTGGTCTTCCATCACATAAACTTATCCTTAAAATTGGAGCACCTATAATGTTACTAAGAAATCTTAACCCACCTAAATTGTGTAATGGAACTAGATTGCAAGTTAAATCTCTGCACAAAAATGTAATAGAAGCTATAGTTATCACTGGGTGTGCTAGAGGAGATATAGTTTTAATCCCGAGAATAACGTTAATCCCAACTGATTATCCCTTTGAGTTTAAAAGAATACAATTCCCACTCAAAGTTTGCTTTGCTATGACTATTAATAAGTCTCAAGGACAATCATTGAGCATGGCAGGGATTGACTTAAGAGAAGAATGTTTTTCACATGGACAGTTCTATGTCGCATGTTCTAGAGTTAGCTCTGCCAGTAGTTTGGTTATTTTAGCACCAAAAGGCAGTACCAAAAATACTGTTTATAAAGAGGTATTGAGATGAACAAAATATGTCAATATAAATATTGGTGGATTTTTATAAAACCATAATGTTTTTGGGTATATTTTATTTCAACATTTCGTCGATTAGAATTGTATCTTACAATTCGTTTTCAAAATATTAAAATAAAGTAATTTTTTGCTGACTTCTGATTGTAACAATACATGGGCAACCTAGGATAAACTTATCTAAAAGCAGCCTGTAATAAATATAAAAACTGATAAAATAAAAGTTATAGTAGGTTACACAAAAAAACTGTACACGGGCGAAGCCGGGTTATTCAGCTAGTGTTTATATATATATATATACGGTACACAAACTCAGTAATTTTACCACAGAATAGATGAAATCAGAATGGACACTCTCCAAAAACCATGATAAGAACTGAAGTGCCACCAGTGTAGCCATATAATAAAACTATTTTTATTTTTTGATTTATGTAGCAAAAGACCACTCTGAGCATCCGCTTTATTTGGATTTGTTTGTAAACAAACTGCTTTTTTAAGGCTGGTTTGTAAAAAATTTAAAAATTCACTTTTCATATTTCTTAAAAAGTGAACACGAGTCACGAGACCTCTACAAGTCCTCGGTTAATACTTAATTAGATATTTTGAAATTCTTGTAATTTTACGCCACAACCATTGATTATGGACTTCCTAAATAAACGCTTTAGAATAGGTAAATGCTGTATTAAAGACTGCAAAAGTTTTGAATTGGATCCGGATTTAATGATTTATGTGACTTGCATAAATATATTTAGTTTACAATTCAGCTTACTTTTAAATGTTCACCAAATTGAAGTTGGTTAGTAAAATAATTAAATAGTTTTAGTGGCGCAATCTCCGCCACTCACTGTATATTTGATAGTAGAGAAGTACATTTTGTTTAATATTGTATCTAATTTAAATATTATACATACCTAACCCCTCTAGTTTTGTAAATATCATTATAATAATTCTCGTTTAAACATAAAAAGATGTAAAAGTAAATAATTCAATAAATAAACGACATGCGCACTCAATTACATCACATACTACACTGTCACTCAGTCACTGGACTACTGGAGTAACTATACAAATATACATTATACTATATTTGTCAGTAGTAATTTAATTTGTATAGGGAGTACAAAAAAAATACCACGGGATTTCCGTGAAGACAATTACCGCGATAAGGGAATTACTTTTATTGGAAGGTCGAAAATCATATCTGTAGATCGCATTAACTGCCATACATAAACCTGCAGTTACTTTCATATTTTTATATTAATGAAATATTAAATATAAATATTAATTATTACTCTTATTAATGAAATATACATTATCCATTGAAAATATATTATATCGTTAATTACAGAATTTTCAAAGCAACCGCCAATTCGGTCGAAATAATAAAATTGTATACAATATTTTTTTTACTGTACTTTTTGGTAACACTGGTGGCACTTTAGGCTAAAATACCGTGTCTGCCATAAGAGCCCATGTAAATTTTTGGAGAGTGTCCATTCTGATTTCATCTATTCTGTGATTTTACCGTAGTAACAAACTCGTGCCTAGAAGTGGATCGAACAAATTTTTTATCGTTTTGAACAGTGTAACTGAGTCAGTAAATTGCATTAATAAAAATTGTTTATAATAGTTTATTAATTATTGTCAAACTTATATACAAACAAAAAAAATAATAATCATCGGACAAGACGTCTTGTCAACAATACAACGAACACGACTACACATTTGGTGCAGATGTCAATATTATGGTCTGCATATTATCCTAACTTGGCACCCATTTAGATCTCACTTCTTTTGTCGTTGAAGTCAACAACCAAGGTATCATAGGCGTGCGCACGGGGTGTTCCGGGTGTGCCTGGGCACCCCCTGACATTTAATTGGGGCCCTAAAATATTTAATATTTATTTGATGTTTAGCATTGTACAAGTTGTTCATGAGAACAGGTAGTTAAATTTGAAATTAAATATTGTGAAAAGTAAATTCAGAAGTATCATGACCCAATACTGTTTGGAATCATTAATTTTACTTTTTACGGAACAAGAAATGGCCTCTAATGTTGAAGTAGATTTAGTTATTACTTATTAATGAGTTTAATAATTTAAGTAATAGACGCATATTATTATAAATCTATAACTGTTGTATTAGAATGTTAAATAAACATGTAACTAAGTAAGTAATATTTATTTGTACAATATAATTTACTAAAATATGTATTATTATGTACAATGTACATGTCTTGTTAAGAGAGGGCCCAAGTTAAGGAAAGGGCCCAAAAATATTGTAGGAAACTAGGAACCCCCCGAAATCCAGGTCTGCGCACGCCTATGCAAGGTATATATTATTATAGTATTGAACTTGGCTCTCATTTTACATATATGTTTTTGGTGGGATATATCATTACCGGCAAACTAATGTAGCTATAAAGAGCTGCCGTGACATTGGCGCAACTAGGGGGGTGCACAGGGGACTTGTGCACCCCCAAGTTTGAAATGTGCACCCCCAAAAAAAATTTGATAATATCTAATGTTTGTATAATACTATACAAATAATTAATATTATAAGTTATAATTTTTTTTTTTTTTGTTCCACGTTAATCACTATATGGGAGCCGAACTGTAAGTGTAAGTTATAACGGATCTCATAAACGTAGTTATTCGTGGAACAATAATCCCGAACCTACTCGTTTCGCCGCCAAGCGTTCTCGCCGCCACCCGACTCGCCGGGTATAATCATAATTATAGTATTTTATTCAGTGTTGGGTAAATTACTTTTAAAAAGTAATAAAGTTACTTTACTCGTTCCTTAGAGAGAAATGTAATAAAGTTACTTTACTCGTTACTCAAATAAAATTGTAATGAAATTACTTTACTTTTCAAATAGAAAAGTAACTACGTTACTTTCTCGTTACATTTTTTTTTTTATAATTTTTTTTTTAATTGCTTAGCTATTATCATTTAAAAAGCGAAGGAACTAGAAATACACTTCCTACAGAAGATATGGTATTATTTGAAAAAGATGTACCTACAGTTAATAACATAAATACATACATAACAATATTAATTACTTATAACTTTTAAGTTATAACTATTAAAAATAGTAGTAATAAATTGTACATATGAATATTCGATCATTACTCATTAGTCATTACTAATAAAGATATTAGATAAGTTTATTATTTTCACCGTTTCTTGTAAAATGCTTAACAGCAATAATAATTATTTATAACGCACTGCAATGTAAATAATTCGATTTATCATTGGTTATCCATCAATATTTATTTTTAGTGCATGTACAGACGTAATGTTTATGCTTAATAATAGACAATAGTTAATAAGAACATTAGGAACGTATAATAATTAACCACTTGTATAATAAATAATACCCGCATTAGACATTATATTTTTAAGTTTTTTTTTTTTTTTGAAATTCGCAATAGGTACTAAATAATTTAAAACTGTAACGCGTTATACTATGTAAATTACTCATCAAAAGTAATTTTCATTACATTTTCGTTATTTGAAAATAATTGTAATTAAATTACGTAACGCGTTACAAACAAAGTAACGGCGTTACAGTAACGCGTTACTTTCGTTACGTTACTACCCAACACTGATTTTATTATATTATATAATAAGCTTATCAGATTCTGTCGATTCTGATAATTTATTATTATCGTTAATTTGTTGGTAATATCTTAAAGCTGGGTCGCTGGGAGCTATTTATAGCCAGACTTCCCACTTCCAGTCATTCAACGTCGTTGTTGTTGTTAGCAAAGACAAAATGACTTAGAACATTGGTACACTCATTGCCAGTTGAAACTTGTCACAGTGTCGCACGGTGTTTTCATGTTTTGGCTTTTGCGCGCAATTACATACAGCATACGCGGTTTTATTTTATTTATGAATACGACCGCATCTACTTTGTACATTGTTCCTTATGTTAAAATAATTCGTTTAAGTGTTGTAATAGAAGTTTATTGCTAAATTGTGTGCATGCATTTTTTATGGTTTTTGAAATTAAAATTTCACGTTTACCTACGTTTAAAATTAACTGCATTCTATATTCTATAAAATATTATTTGGAACAATAATTAGTAGGTAATAAGTAATAAGATATAAAAATGTATAGTATATTTAAAAAACAAAAAAAAACTGAAGAACGAGTTGACGATCCAGGTGTTGTTCAAGTTTCAAGCGCATGTGCATTTTCATTATATGGGTACAATATTTGTTTGTATTAATATTTAACTATACTTTTAATTTCAGGTATTCTTAGTGAATTACAGAAGTGTACATTTTTTATTGGGGTTGTTTTGTTAAAAGATGTTCTTAGTATTATTAACATACTAAGTACCACATTACAATCAAAAACTGGCACTCTGGGTAAAGCTAAAAATATTATAAATGGTGTAATACTATCATTTGAAAAATTACGTTGTGATGAAGAATTTCTTATATTTTGGCAAAAAATTGAATCATTGGCAGCACAAAATGATATTACACTTGATATACCTGACATAAGTATAATACAATTAACTATTCAAATTTATTTTATCTAAAACTAAACTAATTTGTTTTTAATTACCTACCAGGAAAACGCAAAAGAACACAGCCAAAATATTTGAACAGTTTTCATGTGGATACTATCACTGGAGAAGAAAATAATATTAACTCCTTAACAGTTGAAGATTATTGGAAAAAAAATCTTTATTTCCCAGTTATTGATGGTATCATTATCAATTTAAAAAAAAGATTTTCTGTGGAAAGTTTATCAATGGCATCATCTATTGATTGTTTTTTGAATCTTGATTTCAATGGAAGTTCTTTATTTATAAATCATTATAAGGTGAGTCACCAAGAACTAATACAATTTGAAATAAATATTTAAAAAAAATATTATATCTTACTATATTAATTGAACTGTTATTTTTAGGATGTTATGAATGTTTCAGTAGATATGCTCAAAGCTGAAATGATGGTCTTTAAAAATTGCTTACCCACAAATTTCAGTTTTGATGATGTTAAAAAAAACATACAAAAAGTAACATATCCTAATTTGTACAAACTTATTCAGGTAGGTATCACCATTCCGATAAGTTCTGCTACCTGTGAGCGCAGTTTCTCCAGTATGCGCCGAATTAAAAATTGGCTACGAACGAGTATGCTACAGCAAAGATTTAGCAACTTATCAATTTTAAATATTGAGAGGGACATCACAAATAATTTAAAAAGTGAACAAATTTTGAACAAATTTAATTTGCATTCGAGAAAAATAATGTTAAAATAGGTAGATAGGTAGTTCTGTTCATTTAATTTTTGTTAAATAAAATATATTATGAATATTAAAACAAAGTATTTATATTGAAATTAGAAGTTATTTTTTTTCATAAATGTAATGTGAAGAGTAATTGGATTAGTAGCTTGGGGGTGTGGGGGCTTTGCCCCCACGGGTCAGTGAGCTCTTCACTATTTGTGCACCCCCAAAATTATTGGTCTAGTTGCGCCTATGTGCCGTGATGACGTGGGCAAAGGAATGACGCGATGTTCGGAGAGCGGTTAGCGCGCGTCTTTTAAAGTGATGTTGCGTATAATCGGCGGTGACCGGATTTTTACCGCGACATTGATAAAATATTAAAATCTCATCTAAATGGTCATCACTCCAGTATGCCGTCGCGTCGGTGGGCCGGCCGTGGGGAAGCCAGTGGGCCACTTACCACTTACCTACGTACGTAATCTATCGAGTATATATTACTAGTATAATAATATATTACTCTACGTCGAGTAATTTTTTCTGGTTGCCTAGGACATTACATGACGGTTAGACTGTAGGAGCATGGTCAACAAAGACCATGACGTCGTGCGAGTTTCGCGCAGTTGGAGTGTTGCTATTCCGGATTCTATGACCGCCCGATCAGATTATCGACACATTGCTATCAATTCCGAGGGATTGCGCTTTCTAATACAACTATTATCGCACATTTCGGTTGGTCCGCGATCGTCATCACTCATAAACTGGTATCGTAGCCCAGTGGTAGTCTGCACCTCACGACGAACATATTTTGTGTCACCACCATAATAATTTTTTAGGTTATTTACTTCTTACTTAAATTTTTATTTGATTTTTAAAATGTATTAAAATGTATTTTAACATAATATTATATTTAATTTGTACAAAGAACTTATTTATATAAGTCATAGTGGGTTTGCCAGGAGATCAATAAGTCCGGGATTAGCAATAATAATAATGACTAACGATAGTAACTTTTTTTTAATACGTTTAAATGTAAATGTAATCAATTGCTAGCAGAAACCGACTAATATGTGGTTATGATTTAACACTATCACAAGCTCACTCACATATACACTAAACGTATACTTATATGGAATTATTATTATATATTATTCATAATTAAAACTTAATTTAGCCGCCGATAAATTGAAAGTGCGTTCACTATTTCATGTGTTTCTATAAATCTATACTTGTTACACAAGACGTATTCATGATTATCATATTAACAATATGTCGATACAAAACGATAAAAACAATTTAAAATAAATTATATTATTGTTCATGAGATCGCCACGTGATTAAAAAATCGTGAATCTGTACTATGGACAAAGAATTAGGTAAAGATAAAAATTACACCAAACAGTTACGTATATCTGAAATGACTGATTTATTTTGCGGTTTCAATACTGAAATGAATTACATATATTTACATATTATTTTAGGTACTGTTTGGGCTATGGCATTTTTGAGTTTTGCAATGTTTGGACTAAATGAATTAACAGTTCTGTAACAAAACAAAAATAAAATATAAATCAAAATCAAAATGTATAGTTTAAGGATTAAAGTAATATTTATCGACAGTTATATAATTTATAAATTATACAATAGATACTATGAGATCATGTTCAGTGGGGCCCATTATCTTCTAGGAAGAATGAATAAAAAATAAATAAAAAAAAAATAAATTATACTATAATATTGCCACCCGCGTACCTATAAAGGAGAATTCATATTCATCAGAAAATATAATTATTAAAGCTTGTAAAAATAAATGATTTTGAATAATTGTATAATGTTCGTTACATTGTTATATAGACTTTCTTTTTTTGCTCCTTTTCATATTACACACAATATACACTATCACCTTATTACAATATGCAATCTCAAAATATTTGTATCGTTTATTGTAGAAAATTAGTTACGGGTTTTTATTCTTCATTAATCATTAATAATTTTTTAATTTGAAATTAAATCGAGGATTTTATCATTTGTCTGTTGATATACATCGAATAAATAGTTTTATCTCAATGTTGACTCGTCCGCATGATACAGACCGGAAAAAAAAGCGAACAATAGTAAAACAAATGAGTATGAAGCACTTCAGTATTCGTAAAATACAGAAATATGCAGTTCACATCAAAAAATGACAAAATTTAAAAAAAAATGAATTTTAAAACCATCTCTATGCAACGAAAAACCGTAAAACACAGAAATATACAGTACACATCCAAAAATTAAAAATATTCAAAAATATGTAAAGTACAATTTTGTATTCCAGATCTATTGACTATAATTCAAACTTGTAGCTTATACAGCTACTTTTTGGACTGCAAATGCATATAAATCCGGGCCCTATAATCATTTTATATATTAACTGTGCCTTAAAAAGTCGTATATAAAAATACATCATAAAATGTCCAACAAAATCGTTACACATTATTATAATACTATTATCTGAAATTATTAAATAATCGTATTGTATCGTTAGCAAGAAAATTTACATTTATTTGAATTTACGATATTTTGTATACAGCCCATATTGATGGACAATATTATGTTTGATAATGACAATTAATTAGTAAATAAAGGTAAAATATATGGTACCTACTACCTATACATACAGATATGTGATCTTCAAGTGGAAATACTTCGCCATGAAAACAGTTGATTATTTTATACCTTTATTCGTATGACATAATTGGTAATTAATATTAACATGATACCCAATTCATTATTTTATTTTACATGTTTTATCTTATTAAATTTTTTTTATAAATAATTTTTGATTTTACATTTTGGCCATTAGTGCTTATTAACTCGGTATTTTATAATACATTAAATAATAATACGCTCAGTGAAGTGGCCATATGACATGGAAAATATAATTATGGTAAAAATAGTTATTTATTTACTTACCAGAGTGGTTAATATTCATGGTAAGTAGGTATTTATTGTGGTAGGTATTCATATTTTTTGTATAGTGGCTTATTCAGGGATTAAAATGAAAATGAAAATGTTCAACTTTTATTTCAATTTCACTTATAAATATTTATTTTGTTTTCTTTCAATTTATAAATACCATATAATTTTATAATTGTATTATTTCTTATTAATGTAAGTTGTAACACAATGTTGATTTAATATTGTATTATGATATAAATTCGATTTTAAGCTTATTTTTTGATTTAAAATAAAAATTATACATTATAAAGATTTAAATTTCGGTTTCTAACTACGAGAAACCTTTTTCGTTCGAGCATTCCATATTTGTCAATACGCACAACTAGGAAACGAAAATAAGAAACCGAAATATTGGTTAAGTATTTTGTATTAGCTACATTGTTATAATTATGTACAATATTATGAAGTATCGATAGATATATCTACTTTTGTTGAATTATAAATTTAAATCATTCATTTTTTTAATTTTTAAATTGATATGGATATATAAATTATAAAACGATGAATATTTTGGTTGTAAACTATCGGTTTAAATATTGTTTTCCATTTCTATTTGAAATTTGAATAGAATTTAAAAATTTCCATCACTTGATTTTTAGATGATTTTTAATTATTTTTATCGATACTCAAATCGGATTTTGAAATAATTTATTTCAAGGGCAAGGGTTCAATAAATATTTTTATGATTTAAGTCAACTTGAAGTGTATGTTGTAGACGTTAACCAAAATTGTAATGTATGTAAATAACAATGTAAAATATTTTTTTACTATTTAGTGAAATATTTTAGAAGCAGATTAAATTATGTTAATTTATACAATACTTGATGGATATGTTTTCAAAGTAAAATAGTAAAATATGTAAATAAACCGTGATATTTGACGTCGTCCGACGCACGATATCAGTTACACGAATCACCTTTAAGAACTATGGTCACGCTACCACGCCATAGCTTGCTCCTCTCTATAGGCGAAAGTCGCCACAGTATAAAAGGATGAATTGATGCTTCGTTCCGGCATAACGCAATTTTTGTGCAAATATAATATTCTGTGAGTATTTAGTTGACAAGAAACGACATTTCTTTGATCTTTATATTATTTTAAATTTTCGTGTTTTATATTTTAAATTTTATTTTTTTTTTGTCTTCTTGCAGTTTTCACTTTATTCCCAAAAAACCAACCAAAAACCAAAAATGGGAGCCGAAAAAGTAACCATGAACATCATCGTCGTCGGACAAGTCCAATCTGCCAAGTTCGTCAAATCTGTGGCCAAAGCCACCCCCACCACCAGCCAAATGATTGTGAGTTAACAATTCTGTGAGGATTTTTAATTTCGAATAATAGCGGGATCGTATTTTTTTCACTGTGGCAATATTTCCAATATTGTTATTGTGTTTCAATTTTATCTTATTGTTGTGCACATGCGTTAACCGGTATATTTATTTAATTTTTCACAAGGTATGTAAAGTAAATCAAATATTCAATATTAATTTTTATATCACGCATATTAAATTATATTATACCTACATTCTTTTTTATTATAACTAAATAATTAGAGATTAAATAATTTTCTTCAATATTTTATCATTACATCAAATTGAATTATTATTTGTTTTAGTAAATGCATTTAAATACTTATAGTATTACTTAAAACTTTTTTAAATTAAGTATTAGGAAGTATTTTAATACAGTATTGGAATAACTATAGGTATTTGAAAATCAAATAATTTTTTGTAAATACTTTTAAAAATTCAATAGAATTATTTGTTGCAGTTCAATTTGTTATTTGATAATTAATATATTATTTAGTTCTACCAAGATTTTATACTTTAGTATATTATATTAATTGACTATTTTTTGTTTTGTTCCAGAACTGTTAATTCAAGTCCACATCAACCTCAAACTTAAAAATGCCATAGCCCAAACAGTACATAATTTTATAATTTGTTTTTAATTATATAATAATGTGTATTGACATTGCAAAATAAATCTACTTTTCTGTCGCTCAAATTGTGTGTATTTCACTTACCTACTCTCAG